AACTAAATTACACAAGATTAATGTTTATAAAATGCTTAATATGTCATTATAAAATGCATACATGCATAAAGTATGACGTATCGTGTGTAATAAAAGCAAATTAGCCCTTAAAAACCGTAAGGTGGCGCTACTATGTAAAAAAAAGTAAGCTCCGCCCCTCACTTCCAGTTCTGTGGCTGTGGTTCTGAAAATGCTGGTGCTGCAGGTCTGCAGCTGGATACTATTGCTTTACTCTCGCATGTCACATGACCATGTAATCGCAGCCTCTGCGATTGAAAAATTGCGTTTTTTCATATCGCGATATCGCAAATGCAATTATTCGTTCAGCCCTAATAGATAGATAGATCGATATAGACATAGATATATAGATATAGATAAATATATATATATATATAGACATAGATATATAGATATACAGTATCTCACAGAAGTGAGTACACCCCTCACATTTTTGTAAATATTATTACATACACAGTAAATTCCCGAGTGTTAAATTAACACTGCTCGGAGCATATATGGTCCCACTCTAAAAGTGTGTTAAAGTAACACTGAAGCAGTGTTAAAGTTAATGAGATAATTAAGTGATTAATTAAGTGCTGATTGATCATTAGTGATGAACAGCTGCTGTTAACAAACAGAATCACTGAAGAAAAGAGAAACACAAGAACTACAACTGACTTCATCCACAGTCTTAGATGAAATCAACTGAAATAAAATACATTAAATCCATCAAGATCTCAGCAGATGATAATTAATCATCTCCACAAACAGCATCACCAGCTTCATGCATTACTAACCAGTTTGACTTTTTTTGTCATGCATCAAAAAATGTCTTAAGAATTAACAGAGGTTTAGATGTTAATGTTTATTGAAAATAATACAATTTGAAGTCACCACTGTGGAGATACGTGTATGCTTTAGTTGGGCTCTTGACCCTTGATTAATTAATATTTTAATGGTTGCTGTTAGGGATGGGCATATCGACCCTAAGTATCGATATATCGATACTGACGCGAGTATCGAAAGTATCGATACTCAAACTAAAAATATCGATACTAAGGTGTGTTTTATTTACCAGTGATTTCATTTATTTAAAATAATAATAATAATGCGTACAAATGCATTGAATTGAACAAATAACCTTTGTTCGCAAGTAATTGTGGAGGATAGAATTATTTTTCTGCTCACCTGAACCCACGCAAATGTTGCAAGACAGAACCAATCAATCAAAGAGAGTGTTCACTCACTTCTGACAGTGCATTCAAACAGGGCTGCGTTTCCCAAAAGTATCATAAGAAAGCATTAAAGCTTTTGGGAACAGCAGCCCTGAACAATGCTTATCAGAGGACAGACAGAAAACATATGTTTGAGTTATTTCACAATAAACAAATCGTAGCCTACATAGTTTGTACAATTACATTTATTTAAATTGAACGTTGAAAGATAATATAGGTCATGTTCTATTCAGTAATGTTAATAGAAATCATACACTGTCAGAACAAAAAGGTTGCATTTTATGGATGCAACAGCCGGTCACTGGCAGTCCCTTATGATAATGAACCATGGTTTTACTAAAATGACCATAGTTCAACTGTAGTATTTGTAGATTTGAATCATGTGTAAACAAAAACACATTTGAACCATGTGTAAACAAAAATATAACCTAATAAATTACAATTAAGGAGTATTGAATGTTAAAATGTGTTTTAAACAAAGTTAAGTGGTTATCATTACCCATTTTACTCTTAGTAATTTAATAATTTAATACATTTCATCATTTAAAAGTTTAGTTCAGAAGTATCGTATCGGTATCGATATCGACGATACTGCCTTGAAAAATATCGGTATCGTATCGAAAACAAAATAAGTGGTATCGCCCATCCCTAGTTGCTGTAACTGTTTATGAAGCACATTAGTTGTGGCAAGAAAAACCGGAAGATCATGTGATCCGGTTATATTGGCTGTTTTTAGATATTGTTGTAGTTGTCATGCATGCCCTAATTCAAGGTTGTCTTCAGTGGTGATGTGTAATGTAGTTAATGTCATTGATCACAACTGCATTTTAAAGAAATACGAAGAGCTTCAAAAACTCTGCACACCAGTTTAGAACATCTGTACTGTTTAGACACGCAGACATCAAGAATCAGCATATGACTCTCAACAATGGTGATGATCATCAGACAGATTCATGTTGCATTGCATTCTGGGTGCACCAATCATAACTCATCCATGGCTCCCAGCATGCATTGCGACATGAATAAATTATGCTGCTGCATTGTCTTAGCATTTTCTTTTATTCTTACTATTTTCTTTTATTTTTGTTGTGACTTTTTACTGCCTTGTTTTGTGACATTCAAAAAAACATATCAAAATTATCAGAATATTTAGTCACCATCGCTCAGATTCACATGCTGATTCTTCATGTCTATGAGTGTCAAAATTGAAACCTTTTTAAGAGCCAATTTTCTAAAAATGGTTCATTTAGTTTTCTCACATTGTATCATATCATAGAAGTGCAATAATACAGAAATAATAAAAGCATTGCAGATTTAGATAAAATGGAATGAGAAACTCAGAAGCATGAACTTACTTTATTAAGTACAACTTTAATTTATTTTATTGTGTATTAATATGTGACAACACTGAAGAAATGACACTTTGCTACAATGTAACGTAGTGAGTGTACAGCTTGTATAACAGTGTCAATTTGCTGTCCCCTCAAAATAACTCAACACACAGCCATTAATGTCTAAATCGCTGGCCACAAAAGTGAGTAAACTCCTAAGTGAAAATGTCCAAATTGGGCCCAAAGTGTCAATATTTTGTGCGCCCACCATTATTGTCCAGCACTGCCTTAACCCTCTTGGGCATGGAGTT